CCCCCACGTTGGATCCGCCCTTGTCATCAAGGACACACTACAAGAAAAATCATTTTTTGCGTCGACAAAAAGTCGACACAAAAAGTTAAAAGTGGACGCAAATACTTTATTTGCGTCGACATGTGGACGCAAAAAGGTCGACGCAAAAGCCTCGACGCAAAAGCATTATTAGCGTCCACTTTGGTCGACGCAAATACACTTTTATTTTTTGCGTCGACATTGTCAACGCAAAAGGCGTAAATCTGAAAAAAAATTAAAAAACATCATTTGCGTCGACATGTCGACGCTAAAAGTGCTTTTTTTCCAAAAAAAATAAAAATAAAATATAATCACAGGATTTTCGTATTAAAAATACTGGTATACAGAAAATGAGTAATCTCATTTATTAAATTAAGGGCATTCATCATCAATCAAATAAATTTGGAAAAACTAACTACCAATGTGTTAAATAGTTTTAGCATAACTCATCGAAAAGAGCACATATACAAGTTCAAACAGCCAAGCATGGATAATAACATACTAAATTAAATTAATACAATGTAAAATTGCTATAATGTAAAAAATACAATCAATGGCATATTCACCTTTATATTATAGGCCTAAAACAGGATTTTAAACCTATGATATAAGACAAATGGACAAGATTTAAAACCGCTCTGGAATAAAAGTCATGGATTAGAGCACTACCACCTGAAACTTCAAATAGAGGAAAACCTATCAATCCAAAAAAAGTGGCATCAAGTTTCAGCAGTTACTTCTCAAATGATGAGGAACATAGCAAGCATAATGGAGACAAAAATGGAAAAACCTTAAGAAAGACACATTAATCAGACCGAAGAATCCTAATTCAACGCCTCATTGTATTGGCAGTGGCGGAACCAGCCCGGGGATCTTGGAGGGGCACAGAATGGGAAAGGAAAGGTCTTTAGCAAGGAGGACGACTTGCTATGACCCTGAATTTTTTAGCTCCGACGAGATAGATGGTGGCAAGAGGAAGTGTTGAATAGGTCAATAGGCTACGACGTTGCGTACTATATGAGTCATCCGGAAGAGTTTGCGTCTGCCTTCAAGGTTGTTGTGGCTTGCTACGAAACAAAGGTCTCCAATAGGTGGCACACAACTTTTTTATTTTTATTTTATTCTATATTATTTTGTTTTTATATTATTTTAGTGGCTTGAGGACTTTAATAAATATAATGTTGAAAAAATGACATGTATATTACTAATAAAGTTTTCCTTGAAAAAATATGACTTATTATGTATTTGGACGTGGTATATGAATATCTGGACAAGAATCACTATGATGTATATCAGAGTGACAAGTCACTGGTAGATGATGAGTCACTAGGAATTAGTCCATGAATATGTCACTTTTGAATTTAATTTAGTACTACCCTTGTCGCACTAAAATTGAGACAAGAGGAGGTGACCCAGTTATTAAGAAAAATAAATTTGTGTGGTTGATATTAAATTGATAAAATAAAAATAATAAAGTAAGAATGATTTAGAAATACACAAACTTTACTAATTTGAATATGAGGTGATCTATCTTAGTGAGATTTTCTCAAAAAATAAAATGAAACAATTCAATCGATAAGAACGATATTCATGAATAAAGGCCGGCTTTTGAGATGTAATACAACTTGTAATTCTAAATACTTCCTAAAAAATTTTTTCACCCATTTCATTCCCACCCCACAAAAATCCAACAAAAACTAGAGCCTAAGTGGACAAGTAGGCCCAATCATTTGACCTAGTAAAAGGAGCTTCACCTTTGACTACCACATCCTTATTTCGAGAAGGCAAATACTAAGAGCAGAGAGCAAAATCGTGGCTGGATGACTGGATATAATATTACCTATATGCATATATATACACTAAGAGCTGCAAGGCCGCAGGGGCACAAGCCCCTCCAGGCCCATGAATAGTTCCGCCCCTGTGTATTGGGAGGAAAGTGTCTGCAAGAACATCAAGTTTAATTAGTAATGATTTTAATTCATGGATCCACAAATATGCATTTTGTGAATATTTTAGTTACAAGGAGTGCAAATGTCACTGGTTAAGTCATTATAGTCTAACTAACTACACGCTCTTGATTCTGTAAAAAATGAAATAATCCACTTGAAATACTTGCACCGTGCTCATATAAGGTAGTAGTTATAATCATCATTTATTACAAGAACGATATAGTAAAATTAACATGCAAATCATAATATAGTATTAGTAGAAAAATTATAAGTTGCTAAAAATGTTGCACCTTTTATCTGAAGTTCGCTGATTAGGTCATTAAGGCCACCTTTGGTCATCAAGTCACTCTGCAGAAGAAGTGTTTCCTAATTAAGGAATTGAAAAAGGAAATAAAAAAAGTGTTAATGGTTCCACAAAGCCCACTTGCATTGATGTATCAGTAATGGATGGAAATTTTAAAAGCAAATAATTACATTGAACATTGTTGCATCCAGGATAATCCATTTTTGCATCCAACACGATACGCTCTGCTAAATCAAAGTCCACAGATTTATATCAACATAAGCATGATAAATTCCAGTACGTTTCGAGTCCAATATGTCTTTCACATTTACATGATCAAACTGAAATAATAACAACACATTAAATTCTATTTCACCTGTTCAGGGTAATGCACCTTGAGCAATTAGGGACCTCTTCTATATAAGTAACAAGTACAATAAGCCAATCTAGCAGACAAAGAAGCAAATCCAGGGGATGCAGAGTATAAGCAAATTTAAAATAGAACATAGATTATAAATGTCAAATTCTCAATAAATTACTTAGGGATTAAGACACAACATTAAAGATTCTGATTAAATTCTTAGTTTTCAAGATGACACGAATTCTCTTCACACAATATGACATTCAATTAAATCCCGAAAAGTCATTGAATTGCATTTCTATTGATAAGTTGTGCTAGCTAGGTAACCTACTTCTTTCATAATCACACGGCCAAAAGACTAAGAGAGTACTGAATAAAAAAGATATGAAAAGGGGTTTTTTTGAATTTTGACCCTGAAGTTATCAATATTACCACTGTGTAGCCTGCAATGCCTAATCGACTCTACAACTGCATCTCCACCTGCAGCATTTGCACTAAATTTTCCGGCGATCTCGTAACCACTGACTTTGTATCACACCATACCCAACTGCAGTATCCAAAATTGGAAAAAGAATACACATTTTCAATAAAAAAGATTCTGTACAGACAGAAAGTTTTTTGCAAAAGGTTTAGAGGCAATACCAGCTACACTGGAGGAGTCCTGGACCACTGCTCCTCCATCCAGATAAATGGAGCCTTGCATGAACAAAAACCTAAGAAAAACATTGTAACATTACAATAATAGAGATTAAAAACAATCACTAGAGAAGTCAACGATCAGGTTTGGAATTGGAAACGATCACACTAATCAAAACAATTTGAATAATTGACCAAACTTGACTCAATTGTTATCACAATAACACTCTTAATTACTTCTAGAAATTAATCCTATCAACTAAACTAGCTAAAAATGAGAACAAATATTTCAAAATCTAGAAGATATAGCAATGATGAAGTAAACAATTGAAAAAAGATGCAATATTTAATGCAGATGATCTTCTGCTACTCTTTCATCAAATGATTTTGATCAAGCAAACAAGACTGCTCTAATTGAATAATTAAGCATCAACCTCTTCATCAGATTATTTTGAATGAAAAATATATAATTATTCTGTTAGTCTGATGACAAAAGAATTACGAAAATATTGGTTATGGGGAACTACTCTATACACTTTCAACATCTTATCCAAAAAGTGCTACTAAGATTGATGGATAAAGCAAATCTAGATGAATTACAAATTGAGTCCTGGACTTCTCTCTGCTTATTAGGTTGATTTAGATCTGAACTACCATTCCCCACTAAGAAAACACATCATACTTCTTCAGGAATAACGTATGGCAGAAAAATTAAATCAATTCTCAGAACTTGTTTGATTCATAAGAGAAGTGTAAGAAATTAGTAAAAGCATACCAGATGGAGGAGAAGACATTATATTGAGGTCAGTCTAGTCGAGGATCTACAGAGGCGTGTTTGCTCCCAGCGCGATGCGAAGTGGTGTTCGAATCGCTTGTCGTTGGTGTTGTTCCTGTGACGGCCGATGTTTATCGTCGGTCGTACATGTGCTCGGCATTTTCTAGCGGAAGCCTGCGATGTCCTCTCAATCGCCACCCCAAACATTCTCCCCGCCGGTGCCGGCGGGCCGCTATAGCTTGAGAGAGATGCCCTTGATGAAATTCCTCTGCTGCGGCCATTTGTGATACGAGTATGTAAACACTAGGGTTTTGTTTTGCGCTGAAAAAACTCCAATTCTTCGTAAATAGATAGTACTGGGGAGTATTAGCGTCAACCCAAATGCCATTTACGGATGTTTTTTTTTTGTGTCCAAATGTTGACGCAAAAGACTATTTATTCGTGTCCACATGTGTCGACGCAAATACTTTGGACGCAAATAATACTTTTTCTTGTAGTGACAATCTATTACTTGTATTTATGTGATTCCAGATCATAAGATTGTGTGGCTAAATATCATCATTCTTGTGTCTAAATTTTAAAAGATTAAAAATTTACACTCAAAATCAGTTGAATGACATCATCAATAACCATTCTACAATGGTCAAACATAAACAATCTCATGGTGAGGTCCATTTGCAGCAAAAACACTTCAACCACATACTATGATGGCAATATGTTTAGCAGACTTCGAGGACACTCTGATGTAAGGAAGATTTAATGGAAGCCATAGTTACATTTCTATGAATCTATGGCCTCGATTTATTTTGTTCTGGTTCATGCATTCATCTAAAGACATGGTGGAAAAGTGCATTATGGAGAGGGACTTGTTTCTACCCCATGTCTGCCACTTCTTATCTTTTGACCTTTTTTATGAACATAAGATGCATATTCGTATAATTAATAGGGATTAAAACTTTAAGACAATTTTAGTTGGGAGTTATTTCAAAAATCAAAACACAAACATCAATGTGTTATGTGTTCCCAATTTCCGTGCAAAATATTCTAGTGAAAAAATATTCATTCGTGAAAATAATGGCTGAAAAGCTAGTTGCTAATATTAGGTAAGGTGTGAAAACCTTTTTTATGAACAAAAGATACATATTCATATAACTAAGTGGGATTAACTTTTTTTTAGACAATTTTAGCTGGGAGTTATTTCAAAACACAAACATCAACGTTTCTGTCGTGCCTGCACTCCATCGCTGGAAGAAACCCCCATCTACGGCCTGCCCAATCATTCCTCAGTGCACCTTTTTCAATCAATCTGCCTAAAGGTAGTTCAACCCATGGATCTTGCCCGCGATCTCACTGCATCTCCAGCTCTTGCTCCATTTTGTGGCCACAATTTCTCCACAAAATCGAAAACGCTGAAAACTGAACTGTTTTCCATTAGCGTTTTGAAGTACATTACAACTCTAAAACTTACCCTTCCATATTTTGCAGACCATTGCTTTCAAAATATTAATCTATTCCTCATTGATTTCAGAACATACCCTGGAGGAAGAGTATATCTATAGTGACAGTGTTTACCACAATTTCGACAGACCCAAAACCATCCATTCATTTCTTCTCCTCAGCATCCAAAAAGTATTTACAAACCTGCACATGAGAACTACGAATGATGATACCTCTACATTCTTCCTGAGAAATCCCACTCATTTCATTCAAGTCATATGGAAAGATCTTTTAACTAGGAGCAACATGTGAGGTCTACGTTGGAATAAAAAAGAGCTACCTGAATGGGTACAATTTAATCTTTTTATTTGATTTATATTTGTCTCATTTGAGGTAAACAATCACACAAAGCATGGGAAGAGCCCCCCCCCCCCCCAATGTAAAATATAACCCCTTTTCCCAACTTATCTATAATAGATGTGGACAACACAAAAGCAAAACACAAGGTAATAGTGGACCCTGAAACTTGATTGGTTCTTGCTGTACTCCTCACTTTTTATGCCACAAACTCCTCAAAAGTCTCTTGGCCCCAAACTCCAGATCCTCCGCTATTTCTTTTTTACTGTAAAAGAAGGCAGCAAATAAACAACAAAAACAAATTAAAATGAAATGTGGAGATTAACAAAGTTACATCCAGCAGAAATAACTAAATAAATACTTTAAAATAAAAAGAAAATCACCATGATCACATTTATATGCAAATGACAATCTTCTCTCCTTTTTTTGTATATTCAGATCGTGTGAGAACTTCCACTTGAAATCCTTTGTACATTTCCCAGCTTTGTAGAACTCACACAATATTGATTTGGATCCACACCAGTCACCAGACCATTATATTACATTTGGCTACACAATTAACACCATAAGATTAGCACATGAGTAAAAGGACTAAGAGATGTATATAATAAAAGCTTATGGGCTTTTAATGGATTTTATAATTTCATTATAAAATGTAACTTGATTAGATAAAAAATAATACCATTTGTAAACACAAAGAGATAATTTACGAGATGGAACTTTAGGTTGACTAGCAGCAACATTAAACAAGTCAAGGTGCTCCTTAGCTCTGGCCTTTTATGAGTTTATCCTTTCTTTTTCTGCACGAAAGTTCAAAATTGCATGTATATAAGAGCTAACTGCTAACGGTAGTTCAAATGCTCAATCATTAAGCACGATGAATATATAGGCTAACCTTTTCCATCACTTGCAATGGAGCCAAAGATTTATTATATTTTGGCTTGACAAATATGGAGTAAAGCAAAATGGCTCACTAAAGTGTCTGCGCTTCTTTGTTATGAAGCAGCAGTCAGTCCATGCAATTTTGGATGCGATTTTCACTATGAGTCATCCGGAAACAATCTCTCTGAACTTTAGTACAGGGGTAAGCCTGCGTACATCCGACCTCCCCTTACCCCATCGTAGGTAAATGAAAATGAAAATGATATACTCCGTATAAGCTAACCGCTAAAGGCAGTTCAAATGCTCAATCATTAAGCACGATGTATAAATGCATAAAAATACCATATCTGGAATCGAATACATTGAAATCCTCACAGACCTTTATACCAACCAGCGGGAAGAAGTGATATTGTTTGACAGGACAAAACTATGACCAGGATTCTTCCGTGACCTCCTATTAACAATCAATTCCCGTGTATCGGCGGCCCTTCACCATAAACCTGCCAATGCGTATATGTTAGCCAAGACAACATAGTTGGCAGGCTCTTGGGGGTTCATACTAAATAAATTCTTCGCTGCTAACTCTCCATGATGCATATGTTCATGCACACTACACGCCCCAAGATGTGATCCCCAAAGAGAGGCACTCGGATTAACTTTCTCCCTACATATCAAACTATGGGCTTCTTCCAAACAACCCTCACGTGCCAAAAGGTCTACCATGCAAGCATCGTGCTTCGACGATGGGCAAATCTTATATTTTCGAACCATATTGTGGAAGAACTCCCAGCCTTGAGAAGTCAAGCCAGTATGACTACACGCAGAGAAAAGGGACAAGACCGTGATATGATTTGGATAAATTCCTTGCAGTTCCATCTTCTTGTAAAGAGAAATTGCGTTCTCAGTATGGCCGTGCACACCATATCCAGATATCATTGATGTCCATGAGATTTCATTCTTCTCTTCCATGTGATGAAAAATTCTCTTAGCAGCCTCAATCTCACCTGCTTTTGTGTACATGGCAATCAAAGAGTTTCCCAAGGCTACATCATGTTTATTTTGATATTTCAACGTAAGAGTATGCACCTGCCTTCCTAGACTCAATAATGCTGATTTAGAGCACAAACTAAGCATTGAGCACAATATTACACTATTAATTTTCACGTGCAATCGGTTCAACTCAAAAAAGAGATTCATGCATTCATCAATGCCTTTACCTTGACGAGCATATCGCATAATTAATGCAGAGCATGATATGATATCTATCTTCTTCATACTTCTATAAAGACGATTTGCACCAGCTAAGTTCCCATACTTCACATAGGCATCAACTAGAGATCCAATAGGCACATTATTAGACTCATACCCCAATTGAACAATGATGCCATGTATACTGCCAATAATCATAAGTCCATCGACTCTATAACATCCAAATGAATTTCTCAGAATACTCCCAAACGTAAAGCAATCAGGATACATACCTACATATAAGCAACATATTCATTCTATAAGGAAAAAAATTATAAGAAAAGCCTATTTTGTCAACCTACATACTACTCCCTAGATTCCACAATAAAGTTAATAGTTGTTTTGGCGTACTTTGGTAAAAAAGTAGTTAAGATAGAAATAAGTGTCAAAATATATTCTATAAATTCCTAAACAACATTCCAATTTTTCTTTTTTTGTTCGACCCCAATATCTTTTGGGACTAAGGCTTAGATGTTGTTGTTGTTGTTGTTCATCCCTAAATAAAATTAACCTTTTCTTACTTAGCAGCCAAATAAGTTTTTTTCTTATTTAGTAGCTAAATAAGATATTTTCTTATTTAGCAGCTAAATAAGTTATCTTCTTTTTCCCAGTTTCGCTATATAAGTTGTTATCTTACTACCCACATGCATATATCCATCTATCACCACTAATTACTCAAACCTCTTAGAGCATCTTCAATGCTCTTCTTTTAACGGGAACAAAATTTTGCCAAATGTCAATAGAAGAGAGCAATGTTGATCCACATAATATACAAATTAAAAGAAAGGCATAAATGACTCCCAATGCATAATGTTAACAACCTGAAGTTATCCATGCGTCATTTATTTTATGCTCTGTAAAATCTGCAAATATATTGGATGAATACAATGAACCAAATTAAAAGAAAAATAATTATAGACAAATTCTTCTATAGCATAAGGAGAGAAAACTAGTCAATATGAAATATTTACACCAAGATAAATACGTATGAGTGAAGATGTAAATTCGGATCCATACGAAAAGAATTTTTAATTTGAAATTCATAGAAAAAATCAACAAGGGTTTGATGGCAGGAAGACACATGTCTTCTTTTATAAAAGATAATGATAAGTATATATAAATATTTATGTATATATATGTCGTGTATATATGTATGAACATGCAGTTTCTCTCTACTATGTGCGACATAATACGGGTAAAACACAAAAGTTGGTTTAATTTAGATGAGTCAACATGTTTAACATGCTTTCTGGAATTCGAAAGTGGGTTCAAAAGTATTAGTTCCATGTCAGCTTAACAAGGCAAATGAAAGAATGCATTGGAGATTAAACAAGCGATCACACTTTTAAAACTCGAATATGTGGCAAATTTTCACTCTGTTAAAAGAGAGCGTTGGAGATGCTCCTATTAGAAGGGAAAAGAGGCAAACTAAATGTCAAATAATGTCAAATGTTCACAAAGCATGAGTGAAGCAATATTTAAGCGTTGATATGTGGAGAAAATCTAAATCATATGAAGTAACAATTAAGTGGAAAAAATTCACCCAACTAGGAGAAAACTAAAATGTTGACAAAGCATGAGTGAAGCAATATTTAGGCGTTGATATGATGGAGAAATCTAAATCATATTTGTCTTTTAAAAAAATTGAAATTGCTGACTAGAAAGACTCTTCTTATTAAATACATCCGACATCTGAAGACTAGGAGACACATATTTGACAATAAGATCTCCACGAGCAAGTAGGTTGTTTCTTGGACTTCCAAGAAACCATATTAGGACCAAGAAATACAACAAACCGTGACGTAGATCTGCAACCGGATGTCCAATGTATGTCAGAGTAGGCTGCCAGTACTGTCCATGATCTGGACACCCCTAAAGATACTTTGAGCAAGAGCAGTGAACAAAGTGGGCAACAGAGAGGATCCCGGGCGACGACCAACTGGCCCGAAAGAAGACGATGGGATCATGTCAGGGTCGTCGGAGAGAGCAGGACCGGTGTAACGCTCTATAACAACTGTGTGAGCAGCCGAACTAGACTCGGTTAGAGAATGGATGTATGTGTCATCCACGAAGCAGAACGGCGTCGTCTGCGAAGCAGGTGAGATGGGCGGCATTTCAATCGCGCTCAGCGATTGAAGAGGCGGCAGCGGTAGAGTTATGGGAAGCCATAGGATCGAAAAAAAAATTAAGATTGGCTAAAACCTAGAGCTCTGGATATCATGTGAGAATATGACAGGCTTACCAAAGTGGAAACTCTAGATGTCATATATATAATAAATATGTCCTGATTACAATAGGAAACCTAATTAATATGAAAACCTAATTAATGGTATTAATTATACTATTAACGATTTTGTCTATACCATTAACCAAAATTCATTTAACACAAAACAATTAACCAAATAATCACCATGACTGAGGAAACAATAAACCTGGCAAGTTAGTAAACATTTGGTTCTTTAAACAAAAAAAGCATAAGTTGTTGAAAATAAAAATAAAAATATCAGTGAGCACTCTTTAGATTTGCAAGTTTTCTCTTTGCATCTCCGCAATGGCTTCTTCTTAATAGTTGTTATGTAATTAGTTAAAGAGAAAAGGGTCAAATAAGGCCTTCTACTATTATGAAATTGTCACATAGGACCATGTACTCAATAAAGTGTCATATAGATGCGTCTATTTGTAAAAAGCAATCAAATGAGTCCTAATGACCCGTTGACAACCTCTTAATCCCGATTTTAACATACTTTTTAGAATAGATTATACGACAAACGTTGAATATTTAACTAAGATTGGTTGAAATACAAGTAAAAAAAAGTCAACATGTAAGCTAAAATCGGGATTAAGAGGTTGTCAACGGGTCGTTAGGACTCATTTGATTGCTTTTTACAAGTAGACGTATCTATATGACATTTTATTGAGTACATGACCCTATGTGACGATTTCATAATAGTAGAAGGCCTAACTTGACCCTTTTCTCTTAGTTAAAATTTGGTTCGTATTAACTAATACCTCTCTTTCATAGCATCAACCTTTTCAACATCTATATCAAAATCTTTTCAAGCTTAGAACTTTTGCACAAATTGATAGACTTGAATTTTGACTAGAATCTCAAGCTTGGGAAATATTTAGCTAGTCAATTATTTTTATTTATAGAAGGTAAATATGTAATAAAAATAAGTATATACTCAATTATCAAACTACTTAAATATTTGGCTATCGGTTAAATGATGGAATGATGATTTCAAAATCGTACCAGAAATTGTTTTTTTCTTTGAATCGGTTAACTATACCACGAGTGTAGTAACAAAAAAACCAATTTTTCAATTCGTTTTTCTAATTGTTATCCACAATATCTTACGCTCTCCACCCTTTCAAATACATTTTATAATTATAGTATACCGTAATATAATAGACATATTGATTTCATAATTTCTCTATCAGAAAAAGATCTCGCACCGGTATTACTGCGAGAGAATAAACTATTGGAGAAAACTTCAGTGAGTGCCGAATATTTTGAAAGAGGGGGTCAAGAAAAAGTTTTTAAGGTTACTTTAGAAGAAAGTAATGCTTGGGGAGTGGCCTCCGGGGCCTATGGTTTCAAGATACAAACGAACTTGATGGTGCAAAGCTATTTTTGGTATTGAACGAATTATATTTTACTAATAATAGGTTTGGATTGTTGGTTTTTCTTCAATTCAATTCTTATTGTTATTACTATTATTTCAGGGTGAAATTTAATATCTCCAAAGTCTTCAATTTCCCCTATCATTGAACTAGTGGGTTCTCCAAACACCCGTTAGGTGCCGAATTGATGGTAACAAAATGGGCTGCAGGAAGGAAGTTTGCATGCATATTTGTTAGACAAAGTGATAGACTGAACGGTAGTTCAAAAAATTCTGAGGGAAATCACATATGCTTTACAACTTTTTCATCACACGGGATATACAATGATGGATTTGGACCCGTAGAATATTGTCCTGGATGAAGTAAATACAATTCAATACCTTTTTTTATTTTAAGGGATAAGTGTTAATTAAACTATTCTGTCATAAAGGATATCAATAGACAACCGTAGTACATAATGTTTTTAAATTGTAAGTTAGGGGCAACTTTGGTTTTGCCCTCTTTTGACTTTAGGAAAAAATCTGTAACTTTAGCATGAGTTGTTAGTATTGCATGTTATGTCGTAAAAGCATATTATCTTAAGATAATATGATTTTATACCGTTGGCTAAAGTATTATATCCTTATTTTACTATTTATACGATTGAGCTGTAGTCCATTCAATCTTAAGATAGTATGCTTTTATGACATATCATGCAATATTAACAACTCATGCTAAAGTTAAATAATCTTTCCTAAAGTCAAAAGCGGGCAAAACCAAAGTTGCCCCTAACTTACAATCTAAAAAGTTATGTACCACAGTTGTCTATTGATATTGTTTATGGCAGAATAGTTCAATTAACATTTATCTCTTAAATAAAAAGGATAATGAATTGAATTTCTCTAATCCAGGACAATATTTTTCGAATCCAGATCTATCATTGCATATCACGTGTGATGAATAAGTTGCAAAGCATACACGATTGCCCTCAGAATTTTTCGAACTACAGGCCAGTCTACCTCTTTGTCTAACAAATACGCATGCAAACTTCCTCCTGCAATCCATTTTGTTACCATTAATTCACCTTTTTCAAGTGGGAGCTTGGAGAACCTCACTAGTTCAACGATAGAGGCGTACTGAACATTTTGGAGACATCCAATTTCAGCTTGAAATAATAATATTAAGAATAATGATGAGAATTCAACTGAAGAAAAAACAACAATCTAAACGTATCATTAGTAAAATATAATTAATCTAATACCAAAAGTAGCTTTATACTACCAAGTTCGTTTGGTATCTTGAAACCATAGACCCCTGAGGGCAGTCCCCGAGCATTACTTTCTTCTAAAGTAACCTTGAAAACTTTTCATTGACCCCCTCTTTCAACATATTAGGCACTCTCTACAGTTCTCTGCAATAGTTTTTCTCTCGCGGTAATATCGGTGCGAGATCTTTTCCCGATAAAGAAATTATGAAATCAATATGTCTATTATGGTATACTATAATTATAAAAGGTATTTGAAAGGGCGGGCCGCGTAAGATAGTGTGGATAACAATTAGAAAAAGGAACTGAAAAACTAATTTTTTTGTTAACTGAATAGAACCTTTTAAAACTCGTAGTACAGTTAATCGATTGAAAGAAAAAACAATTTGTGGTATGATTATGATTTTGAAATTATGATTCGATTGGTTAACCGATAGCCAAATATTTAAGAATCTTAATATTTGAGTATATACTTACTTTTATTATATATTTACCTTTTATAAGTAAAAATAATTGACTATCTAATATTTTACAAACCTAAGATTTTAGTCAAAATATCAGAAGCTTGATATTTGAGTAATACGAAGTATTTTCTATTTATAATGCATTTGTATCAACATCATATGGACAATTGGACATATATATTTATTTTCATTCTTTTTATAGGACGACAGAGAGCATAATTGCCTAAATATATACTACCGTTTAACATATGCTAGACTGCAATGCTGCATTACTCTTTCTATTTTCATACTCTTACTATTATTATTTTATTATATACGAGTTTTAGTAATGATTAGTGCCCAATGGTTATAAACACTGTTTTCTTATTTAACACAAAATTTGACAGTTTTGGGAAATGCATCTTGTAGCTAATCTGCCAAACTGAGACAAAGATTATGGTGTACATTCCTTTTTCATTAACTTAACTATGCACACGAGTATAGGATTGCCCTTATTAGGATGTTTTCTTTTGGACTGAAATTTGTTGGTCTAGTCTAGTCTGTTTAAGTCTGGTCTGGTTTGATCAGGTAAACGTCTAGTCTCTTTGAATTCTATAATTGTCCAAGTCTAGTCTGGTCTGATCTGTTTAAGTCTGGCCTGGTCTGATCGGTTTAAGTCTGGTCTGATCTGGGACTGAAAACAGTCCAAAAGAAAACATCCTTAGTTAACTAACATGTACAGGCCTGACCTGTTTTGGCCCCTGCTCTAGCATTTGGAATTATACTCTATCATGTAGTGTTTTCAATCACATAATTCATATATTATTACTATGTTACTTCGTATTATGTTTCGAAATTTGCAAATCTAGATTTCAATTCATAAATGATATCAGACAACTACACAAGTAATTCATCTATAACCTATTAACCCTTTCAAACATGAAAAAATTATACCACAAGTTAGTAAAATAAAATTGAAATTTAAAAAATTACAAAGGTTAATAACTTACCCTGCGGCTGACTAAGGTTTAATGGGTCTAGGCCGCTAAGTGGAGTAACCGGTAGAATGGAGCATTAGAGCAGGACAGCAGGGCAGCCCGGCAAGGATGGCTGGACACGGTGAGCGGGGCTAGCAAGTCTCACCTCTCACGTTTCCGGGTTGACAGGAAGAAAAGAATAAATAGAAGAAAGAAGGAACCATGTTTCTCCAGGGTTTGGGACTGGACTGGGCTGAATTATTTTTTGGACTGGGCCCCTAACTCTATTTTTTGATACTGTATATCCTGTCTTGACTCTTGGCTAGCACGGCTAGAAACGAGTGAAAGAGCATTTGACCTAAAACTATTTTAATTTTTAGATAATTTAGGATATTTTTCTTGAACTTAAATTTGATAGTCTGATCTTATTTGAACTAATATGGTATGACAAATGATGGTTTCTGTATACTTTATAACTATGAAAGTCTGGTCTGATCTGATATAGTATCGTCTGACTATTTAAGTTTGATCTGATCTGATCTAATATGAGACTGAAAATAGTCCAAGTAAAAACATTCGTAAAATGCTTTTGAAAATTGTCTTCAGATATAATATTCATTTTAAGATGACTTCTATTGTAATTACTCAAATCCCGCTAGTTGTTTGCAGAAGATCGAGCTAGCTTTTGTCTAGAGTGTTGCCCGAGATTGAAAGATTGTACTTGATTTTCATCAAATGAATGAGTATAATTAAGATGAGGAAAGTTCATGTCAGGACCTCTAAAAACGGACCTCCGTACGGACCTCGACGTCCGGAAGTTGGTCGAGTTTATCCACACCAAATTTCAGCTAAAAATTCTATCGGGAAGGCAGTCAAATGATTTTTGGAAGTTAACTGCATTGTATATAAAGTGCGCAGTTAACTTCCAAAAATCATTTGACTGCCTTCCCGATAGAATTTTTAGCTGAAATTTGGTGTGGATAAACTAGACTTGATGAAGAACATCCTCAAAAAGTTTCATCAAAAATTTTCACCGGGAAGGGGCCAAAACGTCGAGGTCCGTACGGAGGTCCGTTTCCGGACGGTCCTGACAGGAAGACTACTCTAATTAAGATTATATATGATTAAAACTCAGATCTAAAGGATTAATGAGATTTTTCCTATTGGTGCATTTTTTATTACGGAGTAGATACTAAAATTAGATAAATAAAATTCGACAACATGCTCCCAAGAAACCGCTTTACCGCTTAGTCCAACCTTGCACGACACGTACCTGTTTCATACTTTTTCTAGTATTCGTTTTTGTAGATTTAGTGTGCTTAGACTATCCGCAACCTTGCTCCGTCAATAAATTAAGTTTCCAATCAGTTTATACGAAAAAAGTGTATTCACCCAGTCAATCTAATTTTTTTCTGCAATCCAGCACCGTCACTATATTCACCCAACACAGTTTTTCTTAATTAAATTCATAAATCCTTACTTTTATTATTATACATCATTTTTTACGGGAAAAAAATTAAGAATAATTATTATTTAAAAATCCAAACATTCCGATGTAAAAATAAAAAAAATTGGATTTTATATTTTTCATGCATATATAAAATAATGCACACTTGTGTTACTATACATGTAATTTTAAATAAAATCTAACTTTTTTGAGAGAGATAATCTAGCCAACAATTACAATATGTTATACTACTCGTATATAATATTACTTTATTTACTAAATTACTATGTTAATTCTTTTAGCGGCCTTAATAGCGTGGACTATATATTAAGATTAAAAAATGACACAAATTATTAATATAATAATAATATCATAAAGACACATAGGTGTGATTAAGTTAACAAAAACGGAGGAATAAATCCACATACATTGCAAAAAATGGGAAAAGCCACAAAATAAATGTTTTAAACTTAACCCTTTGATCATTTTTATTCCCATTGAAATGGGTTTCAATTAACCCCAGCCGTTCATCTATCCCCTATAAATAAATGTTTTTGGAATGTCAAATAGCTCAGTGCACATTACCGATGCTCTTGCTTTTCTTCTGACAAAGTTTTGGCAGCATGGCTCCCAATTAATTTTAATCAGCAACTTCCTTTATTATTTTGGAGTGGAGTGAATACACGGATGGTTATTCCCACACCCAAAGTTTCACCAACCCATTATCCCCTCTTCAAATACAAGGGTTGTATGGAATTTGAGGGTGAAAAGATCAAATCTATCATATCCACCCCAGGATTGCAACTGGTCTTATATATGCATGTTTAGCACGTAACGCGACTAATGTCTATGTTCGATCGTATAGTTCATGTATGATGTTATGCAAATCCTTTGTCAATCCAATTTCATTTAATTGTGACATATGTAACGCGAAAACTCTCCCAAAAAAGTACGTTCTCATTTCAAAAACTCTACAAAACTCTTTGAAAACTCACGAAACAATTGTTTCTTTGAGTAGGAGATGAAGTTTCTCATTTCTCGTTTCCTCCCAATTTTCATGTTTCCATGCAACATAAACTATTCCATGTCTGTTTTACATTTTCAAACAAAAATGAGACCCCATTCTCGGGTTCCCAGAATTCAAGCCAAAATAAGTATATGAGATGATGTAAATTGAATTTTAATCACAAAAACAATGGAGAGAAAATGAGTTCAAATGCAAATTTTTGTTTGAAATTTAACTTGGGGATCTTTTTCGGTTTTTAAAACAATCTAATACTCCCTTTGTCCCGAAAAGGTTGGCCAAAGTTGACTTTCACGTGGATTAATAAAGTAAAAATTGTGTGATTGAAATTTGTGCCGAGGAAAGAGAATTAACTTTAGCCACATATTCCTGACTTTAAATGGAAATGACAAATCTTTTTGGGACATCCAAAAAATGAAATTTGGCTGACCTTTTCGGGACGGGGGGAGTATTTTATAGATTGTTGTTGTTGTCGTCCAAGTAGTAACGCCTAAGTCTAAATTAAGTGCCTAACCATCATCAATAATTTAAGAGAAACGGGGCAAATAAGCCCACGTGTTAATAAAAAAAGGGTCAAATAAGACCTTATATAAGAGGTTCTGTCCGGCCGTTGCCAATTGGAGCGGTTTCCGGTGGAATTTTTTGATAAATTTTTTTGAACATCTTAAACATTAAGTCTAGTTTACTCAAACCAAATTTCAGCTAAAACTTCAATCGGGAAGACATTCAAATGAATTCTTGAAGATAGCTGCGCCAAATGGCGACGGCCGGACAGAGCTTCCTATATAAGAGCTTATTTGACCTAGTGGTGGACTCGGGCCGGGCGGCCCGGCCCGGAACCGGCCCGGTTACTGTTTGGCCCGGCCCGGCCCGGGGCCCGGTGGGTCCACCGGTTCGGTTCGGCCCGGCCCGGCTGCTGGGCGGTTCGGGCACGGGCCCAGTTTTTAATTTATTTATTTTTTTGAAATTTTTTTAAGTTTTGGGTTGGATTAGGTATTTTGGGCCATTTGAGGTGGTTTGGGGTGGTTTGGGGTTGAGGGGGAGGGGTTGGGGGTTAAATAGAAGAGCCAAAAAAAAAAATAAGAACCGGTTAGGCCCGGCCCGGTTTGGCCCGGAACCGGAACCGCCCACCGGCGGTTCAGGCTCGGGCCCAACTTTCCTGGCCCGAGGTCAGGCCGGGCCCAGGCCCGAACCGGGCCCGAACCGGCCCGAGTCCACCACTAATTTGACCTTTTTGTTTAGTACGTGAGCTTATTTGCTTCTTTTTTCATAATTTAATAAGATTTGGTCCCTTGTTCAACACTTTTTCCCATGTTTTTAATTTAATTTTCATAGAGCTTGTAATTGAAGCGCAGCTGCACGGCCTATTATGGAAGGATACAATAAACTTTGACAAAAGGTGAGACAACCAAAGAATGTTACCATAAGAACATTAATGATTCTTTTGAACAAAGAATATTGAACGTTAATGATAAAAAGTGTTATTTGTCTTATTGAGTTTGCTTTCTACAATCCCTAAACTATTTTGACTTGTCAAAAAAGCCACTCGCTCTGTCTATTGTCCGATGATATGGAAGTAGGAACTTATAAATTTCGAAGAGCCTAAATTTACGTTAAAATTAATGTTAATTTATAAAGCTTTTAAGGATATTTTTAGACTGTTTTCAGTTCCAAAGCAGAACTGATCAGACCAGAATTAAACAGACGATATCAAACCAAACCTGAATTTCTTAGTTATAAAATACAAAGAGACCAGAAGTTTATCAGATCAGATCAGACCATTCAGATCAAACTAGACCAAACTTAAATAGACATAACTAAACCATCAAATTTCAGTCCAGGTATAAACATTCTAAGTGCCACATCTTAGTTGGTTAGCAGTGTTTATTGACACCTTTTAGAATAGTAACTAATCCCCTCATCCCGACAAATTTTACAAACTTTTCTTGTTTAGGTGTCCGAAAAACTTTATTGCTTTAATATTACCATTTAAAATATTAATAATAATTATACGGTTCATATTATTTCTCTCTCATCTATAAAGATTTCATTGACAATATTTATTTTATTAGTTCATTTACAAGTCAAAGATAAACAAATATTTTTTGAATGAATCGATTTTTTATAAAATCGAACAAAATATTTATTTCTATTCCCAAACCATCGTTACATGTTCATTTAATCATTTATTAATGGAAAAATTGACAAGAATGATCTCACCTTTCACTGGTCTTCTCATAATAATCTCACATTTACTTAATCTAAGAATAATCCCAACTTTGCACCTCATCCAATGAAAGAAGATGAGGTGCAAAGGTGAGATTATTCTTGGATTATGTAAAAGTGGGATTATTATGAGAAGACCAGTGAAAGGTGCGATTATTCTTCTCAATTTTTCCTTTATCAATTCGGTTAAAACTATGTTTGTTAAGCAATTTCAGCAAATAATGAGCTGAAAATTTCAGCAAATAATGAGCTGAAATGTTCTAATTTCGGTTAATTTGTTGGATAATCTTAACGAATTAACGTTTCCAGTAATCTTCTCTAATCAAAACAAACACAATAAAATTAACAAGTATGAAAGAAGATTTACTTACTTGAAGGAAATCATATCTTGTTCGTTGATGAAACCATGATTCCCATTATAGTGCCTTATTAGTGATGGAGGATTGATCGATGATAATGATGTTATATCTCATAGAAGTGTTATGGTGTTATATCCCAAAAAACACAATTTCTATTCCCAAACCATTGTGTTTATGTTCACTTTC